TTTAGCATTATCTTCCATCAAAATTTTATGAGTGAAGAAAGCAGGACTGATTCCTTTCATGTCAGAAAGTTTCCGAGCTAGAGCTTCCCTTTGTTCACTAAGTAGGTCAAGACATGCAGATTTTTGGGATGGCTCAAGTCCGGATGCAAGGATGATAGGGTGGTCAGGACTATTATCAATAAAACCGTATTCAATGTGGGAGGGAAGAGACTTTAGATTAAATGGAGAAGGGGTAACAATGGAAGAATCAGTCTGACAGTTTTCCTTCCCCACTTTATTTAAATCATCTTCCTTCTCCTTCACTTCACTAGCATCGCTTGAGTCCTCCTCCCCACCTACCATAAGACAATCAAAACTAGGGAGGAGCTCAAGATCCTCTGCTGACAAACTATCATCCAAAAGAAGATCAAAGAAGGCTTCATCAAAAAGCATGTTAGGAATGCAGTCTTCCACCAAAGAATCCATCACATCCATGTAAAAACACTCTCCACTATCCTGACAGGGCCTCTTCATTATTTTGGACATGTCAAAGGTGGCAGACTCATCCCCAACACGGAGGACAAGCTTACTGTCTCCAACATCAATAAGTGCTCGAACAGTTGCCAAAAATGGTCTGCCCAATATCAATGGTACCTCCCGATCCTGATCCATGTCCAAAATAACAAAGTCTACCGGAAAAATAAATCTGTCCACTTTAACCAACACGTCTTCAATAATCCCTTGGGGATATTTTACGGATCGATCAGCCAACTCAATGCACATACGTGTAGGTTTAAGTAAACCGAGTGCAAGCTTTTTCATATAAAGTAAGAGGCATCAAATTAATGCTTGCACCCAAATCAGCCAGGGCCCTATCAAAAGTAAGATCTCCTATAAAGCAAGGAATAGTAAACGAACCTGGATCCTTAAGCTTCTTCGGCAAATCTGTCCGTATCACGGCCGAACACTCCTCATTAAGCGTCACAGTTGACGCTTCTTCCGGCCTCCTCTTGTTCGTCAATAGATCCTTCATGAATTTCGTGTACTTGGGCATTTGTGCTAGTGCATCCACGAATGGTAAGTTAATTTGCACTTGTTTCATGAAATGCAAAAACTTACCAAACTGGTCACTGTCATTCTTTCTAGTCAAACGTGCCGGATAGGGAAGAGGTGGGGTGTAATTCTTGACTGGAATGGGCTGTTTTGGTGCAACCGCCACCTCTCTTCCCTCTTCATTCTCTTTTTATTCCTTCTGGTTAGCCGGTACAACTTCAACTGCATCGGACTTTTTCTTTGTGGCAGCAGGTTCTAGCTCTTTTCCACCCCTCAAGGTGATTGCCTGAACATGTTCTCTTGGATTCGGCTCGGTATTACTAGGGAGGGATCCCTGCGGCCTGTCAGATATGGCTTTTGCGAGCTGCCCAATTGTATTTTCCATGTTTTGCATCCTTGTGTTCGCTTGCTGTTGACTTTGCATTTGTTGCTGCTGAAATTGTAATAATTTCTTGAGTGTTTCTTCTATGCTAGAAAATCTTTGTTCAGTCTCTCTCCTGAAGCTCTCTTGCACTGGTTGAGAAGCTTGTTGCTGGCCTTGAGGTGCTTGGGGTTGATTATAGTTTCTAGACTGCTGCTGCTGATTTCCTTGCCCGTAATTTCCTTGTTGCTGCTGTCCGTAGGGCTGATTGTAGTAGCCCTGTCGCTGATAATACATCGCATCCACTTGCTCTACTCCAGGGGCTGCCGAGTGTGCCATCATAGTACATTCATGTGGCGAATGGAGTCCCCCACACATAGTACCAGAGGGACTAAAAGGGTCGGGGGCTACCATATTAACACTGGGCACCGAGAGAGTAAGATCCCTCTTTTCCCCCATATCAGACACGCTGGTTGTGAGCTTCTGCATCATGCTTGCTAATGTATCTACTCGTGAAGAGAGAGCAGAATTATCACTGATCTCGTATAAGCCCGGAGCCTTTTGTTGAGGAGCACTCCTGTCGTTGTACCAAGATGCATTATTTGAAACAATCTTCTCCACTAGTTCTTCCCCCACCTCGGATGGTAGATCAGGAAAGGCTCCACCACCTGAATCATCAAGCATCATCTTCCCTTCATTGCCGAGTCCGCTATAGAAGTGAAAAAGAACATCACAATCAGTCAAAACGCCCTGAGGGCAAGCTCTCCTCAGCACCTTGAATCTCTTCCATGCTTCAGCTAAAGTCTCCAGAGATCCCTGTTTGAACTCTTGTAGCTGCTTCTTCAATTTCAGGGCTTTTGATATAGGGAAGTATTCTTTAATAAAGGCACTATGCAGCTGGTCCCAAGTCTGGTGGTGGTGGTGAGGATTGCTGTCCAACCACCTCTGTGCATCATCCCTCAGTGAGAACGGGAAAAGCATCATTCTCACCTGATCATCAGTTAACCCAGGTATCTTGAAAGTCTGGCACATCCTCAAGAAGCGGGTAATATGCGCCATTGGGTCTTCAGTGGGGCCTCCTCCAAATTGATTATTGGATACCATGTTTATCACCGCCGGCTTGATCTCGTAACGGTTGGCAGTAATTCCCGGCACTTGAATGCTATCGTACTCTGAAACGTTTGGTGTAAGGAACTCTGCAATGGTCTAGCGCTGATTGAGTGGATTGTTGTGCGGTATATATGGATTGGGTGGAGGCTCCTGATGTCTAGACTGAGAGGCTGGTTGTGGCTGAGTAGGTGGGACTTGAGTGTGGTTATGAAACTGATTGGGGTATGGGTTTTGGTACTGGGGCTGATTTTGGAATGTAGGTTGATTGATTGGAAGTGAGTTCTGTCTCGGTTGAAAAACGGGAATACCCCGCCCTACTCCTTGCATCCCATAAACTTGGTTTTGAAAATTGGTTTCAGGAGCAGTAGGGGTATTTTGAAACAGTTGATATAATGGAGGGAGGCTAAATTGTGGTGAAGGCTGATTTTGGGAAAAGATCGGAGTACGGTAGTTTTGAAAACCAGGAGGGTTTCTAGGTGAAATTGGTGGTGAAGATTGGGGTGACGTGTTCACATAGAAATCTTGCTGAGATGTGGGGTTAGGGTTACCCGACATCCTTGCGATTCCAGATAAAGACTGGTGGTCCATGTTATTCTTTTCCTTTTGAGCCTTGCGGTTTTGTCTGGTGAGCTTCTCAATCTCAAGGTTAAGAGGGATTAGCGGTTCTCCCCTCTTAGAACGTGTATGCATAAACAGAGCTGACCTGCAAGGTTAGCAAACAAAAATCCTACGAAAAACTAAAAACGAGTCACTGATATTAATTAACCCTCAAATCTGACACCGTCCCCGGCAACGGCGCCAAAAACTGATGTGAGTTTTCTCGCACTTTAAAAGATTGTAGAATAGCGGTGAAAGTACGAGTATCGTCTCCACAGGAACAGACAAAAGGGAATCAAAGATTAATTAAATTCAGCGATTAAAAGGAATAAAATAAAATAAATGCGTCGTGCGAGATTGGTTGGTTGAATTAAAATTAAACTAATGCGAATGAACGGTTAAAATAAAAGATTGGGTTCTCTCTAATTAACGACGAAGGGAGCAGGGTTTGATTCCGGGGTAATCAGATTTCTGGCAGATCAGACCTAATTTCATGAAATTAATTTAATTGAGCCTAGCTAATCAATACTAAGTTCTTACCGCTCTCGCGGCGTAGAGTACAATAATTTAGGAGATCAAGCAGATCTCTCATGGGACAAGATTCTAAATTATTGCCAAAACGAGCGAGCTTACGGTCCCTTAATCGCTACTAATCTCTTAGCCAACTATTAAGTGTGTGTGAATGTGTTCTAGAATAAACTAGATCTCTTTTAATTTATTCTATGTGCAATTGTAATTCTAGCCGCGGTTCCAGGTTACAAAAGATATCAGTTAAATTATTCAAACACAAATTAAACAGCATTCATGCAATTAAATCGAAAAGAATCTAGCCATCAATCATGATTAACCCCTTCATCAATCCCAAATCCCTAATTAAACTACTCACAATTCATAATTGAAGAATCAACAGAATTGGGAAGAATAGAATAAATTGTCATTAATTAAAAAGATGAACTTACAAATAATCCCAGGGTCTTGGAAGAAAATAGCGTAAAAACGGTGTTAGATTCATCCCTAGGCCTCTCCGTAATGTTCGTAACCCCTAAAAAGGGTTAGGGAGGCCTTATTTATAGAAAACAGGGGGAAATCGCAATTCTGGTCGATGTAGGAAATTTCAGCGCGTAACTCGGGGCTACGTACGATCGTGCGTCCTTGGCTATGCACGATCGTGCGTAGCAGGCAGACAGTACTTCGTGATTTCGTATCCGACGCACGATCGTGCGTACCAGACGCACGACTGTGCGTCCCTTTTTTTTCCTCCTTTTCCTTGTTTTCTTGCCCCAAACGCTCCCGCATGCAAACGGGGTCAATCCAAATGCTCTTTCTTCATCAAAATTTCATCGTGAATCACCCGGTGACCTCCAAATCTCTCAAATCTTTCTTGAATGCTCTCTAGCTCCTCCCGATTGTCTCTCAAGAGCCGATTGCCGAACTCTAACTTCTTCAATTTGACTCCAAATGCAACAAAACTCGACTCAACGTCTGGTAATCACAACTTGAGCTAAAATTGAGACTTGTAACACCTTAAAGCTAGGAAAATCATCAAAAGCCGATCTCAACACACATCAAATGTGTGTCTAAATACGGACTTATCAATTAGCAAAATCAGCCAATGCATCCACTTCAGCGAGAACTTCATAAATTTCAGCAGAATCAGCCAAAACAGCCAATATTCGTGCTACCAAACGGGCTCTTAGTATAATGACACCTTAGTATAAAGTATTAGATCCGATCTTTATATTGTCACAAAATTTATATAATTAGTACTCCGTAATTTTTTAAGCACATAATTGGTAGTTAATTACTTATATAATACATTTTTTATTTTTTTACTGAATGAATATCACGTATTTGCAGTTCGGCCTAATAAATACAGATTTATTTTGCCAAGAGGATTGATCCCAAATCAATTCTTACTCCTACCACAACATGCACAGTCCATTGTTATGAATTTTCCTGGTAAATTTAACATTTATCCAATCTTATGAATTTAATTCATATTATATGTAGTGCGATTTCCTAACTCTCTCATAAACACACCTTATTCATGTCATTTACAAATAGGCTGCTTTTTATAAAAAATACCATATTTGAATATGATATCATGACATTGGGTCTATGGACCACACATGCCAATTTTGCTACTCCAAAATGTGGTATGGAGAGAGACTTTCTCCGAAAGTCAACACCAACAGTCCTGAATTTTCAATGTGCTGTCAACAAGGGCGGGTTCTTTTACCTTTGCTACAACGACCACCTGATTTTCTTTTAAAACTATTCAAAGGTAGCGATAGAAGAAGCACAAAGTTCATGAACAATATTAGTGCATGTAATACGATGTTTGCATTTACTTCGTTCGGGGGCTAGGTAAAAAAAGAACTCAATAATTCCGGAGGACCCTATATATATCAAATGCATGGTCAAAATTATCACTTGATGGGAAGCTTGCTACCAGTGGATTCCAGCAAACCTAAGTTCTCACAGCTCTATATTTATGACACGGAGAATGAGATACCGAACAGACTTCGTGCATTAGAGTAAGTTTGTAACACACTTACTTTATTGTCTACTAATGTAAATTTATATATTAGGAATGGTATCGGTTTGAATAATTTTTTATATGCATGACAGCCATGACTTCTTAACTAAATACTTATGCGGTTAATTAATTACACATGTTTGAATATCTTTTCTTAGACAATCTGTTTGATTAGTCATAGAAATATATGGATGATTTTTCTAACCTTTTTTTTAAAATAATTTTTTTGTCCTTAATAAATTTTAATAGAAGTTAAGCAATCCATATGAAAAATTGCGCAGGTAAAATATTTAACTTTATTAGGTGATTTTTTTTTCATTACACGGGTAAATACATTGATATTTTCATTTTTTGTGAATTTAGGAAATCGGAATCATCAAATGAGTTGGATCCAGAAATAGTTCATGGCTTGAAAGATATGATGGACCAACACAATGAGTTGGCAAAGTGCTTTCGTTCTGCAAGGGATAGATTCCGAGAAGCGCCACAAATAGAATTCAAACTCAGACTACTTTGTAACCGTGAAAGAGATGAAAGAACATATAATTTGCCCACTGCATCTGAAGTGGTTGTTCTTATAGTCGAAGATTTGGATAGTATGTCTTCTCACCGTGATATTATTTTGGAGCATAAAGATCGCACTTTGCAACACATTAATGAGCTTCACCCTTCATATTTAGCTTTGCAATATCCCATACTATTTCCATATGGAGAAGATGGGTATAGATAAAAGATCAAGTATAGACAAGTTGAAGGTATAGATGCTATCAAACGGAAAGATGTCACAATGAGAGAATTCTTTGCCTATAGGCTTCAACAAAGGGATGTCGAATTCAGTACAATTCTATCATCACGAATACTATTTCATCAATTTATTGTTGATGCTTATACGATGCTCCAGGAAATCCGAATACAACGTACATTGTCTCAGGTACGCTTCCACATCATTAACAATTATATTCCATATTACAGAATACGTAGGATTAATATTATTTTTCAATTTAAATAGTGACATTAGTTGTACATATCATTGTACATGTTAAATTAATTAATTAAATGTATACAATTAATGCTCTTAAATTATTTAAGAGAGCGAGGCTCAAGACAAGACACTTCAAAAGATCGAAGAGATTCTAAAGCGTAATGGAAGAACATTGGCCGACTTTGAAGGGATGCATGTCGTAAAACATATAGATGATGGACGAGTATTTGACGCATTGGTACAGGAAGAAATGCAGTATGATACAGAATAATTATCTAGCGAGTTGATGCAGTTACTTCCATCATTAACGACAGAACAAAAACAAATTTATGATTGTGTTATTAATGCAATATCTACGAATCAAGGAGGTAGAAAAACTACATAAAATTAATGAATACTTATTATATCTCAATTAATATCTTAAGTCATACTAAACACATCACCCGTTATCTTTACAAATCAGGTGTGTATTTTGTTACTGGATTTGGCGGGTCTGGAAAAACGTTCTTAGGGAATACATTGGCAGCATCTGTGAGGAGCAGAGGAGAAGTCTTAATTACTGTTGCTTCAAGCGGCATTGCGGCATTATTGCTTCCCGGTGGTAGAACCTCTCATTCTAGGTTCCAATTTAGTCATCACAACTTCCAATTCAATTATTAATAAAACTAAATTATTTAAAAAATAATTTAATCGTTAATACTAATGCAATCAAATATCATCATAAATTTATAATGATTTTACATACTTCATTTATAATAATTACATTTTATATTAATATTAATAATTTAAGTCTCCAATTATATAATACATAGTATATATTAGCATTAATATACATTATTCTGTACTTCATTCCAGGTTTTCGATCCCATTGAGTATTGCTGAAAATTCAACATGTAATACCAAGATTATTAATAGCCACAAAATTAATCATTTGGAATGAAGCGTCAATGACTCACAAGTATTACTTTGAGGCTCTTGACAAGACACTCAGAGATATTTGCTCATCTGTAAATCCAAAGAACGAAGAGTTGCCCTTTGGTGGAAAAATTCTTGTTCTGGGAGGGGATTTTCGACAGACGCTACCGGTAATCTCTAAAGGCACGCGTGCAGAAATTGTCATGTCGGCAATAAACTCATCATACTTATGTGATTGCGTTCAAGTCATGCATCTCACAATAAACATGAGGTTGATGCATCAAAGCAACATACTGTATAGGGAAGAAGTTGAGCGATTTGCTAGGTGGATATTACATATTGGCGAGAACACTATCGGTAAGGAGTCTGGCAGAGGCATTGAAGTTGAAATACCACCTGATTTGTTGATCCACTCGAATGGGGACAACTTCAAAGCCATTGTTGACAGTACTTATCCAGACTTGCACAACAATATGTCAAATTTTGACTACTTGGAAGAGAGGGCGATCCTGACACCAACTTTGGAAATAGTAGAGGGCATAAACAACTACGTCCTTTCAATGCTACTAGGAGAAGAGGTAAAATATTTCAGCTACGACAGCATCTGTCACACTGCGGCAAGTAGTTCTAGCGATGATGACATATATCCACAATAATATTTAAACAACATTTCAATATCTGAATTGCCAAATCATGTGCTTAGCCTCAAAATCGGTCTCCCTATAATGTTATTGCGCAATATTGATCAATCTGCAGGTCTGTGCAATGGAACACGAGGGGTGATAACAAAATTGGGGAAACGCATCTTGAAGCAGAAGTCCTCACCGGACCGAGCAGAGGGAATAAAATATTGATGCCAACGATGAATCTATGCCCAACAGATACAACGTTGCACATAAAACTTCATAGGAAACCATTCCCAATTTTAGTATGCTTTGCAATGACCATCAACAAAAGTCAGGGGCAAACACTAGCACATGTTGGACTTTATTTGGAAAAAAAGTGTATTCACGCATGGGCAGCTATATGTGGCAGTTTCAAGAGTCAAGAACAGAAATGGGTTGAAAATTTTGTTGGGTGGATGAGATGGGTGCAATACAACAACAAATGTTGTATATAAAGAAGTCTTTCAAATTGTTTGATTTTCTTTTAAAGCACATCAATGTATGATACTTATCACAAGAATATTTTTATTTCACTATACTTTTGTTACTTTGCATACTATGAATTTTTTTAAATTACCGTGCTAATAATAATAACAATAATAATAAATCATAGCCACCAGTTTTTATCCCTTTCTCATTTCTCAACAAAACTTTAGTAATATACCTATAATATACTTTATCTGTTCTTTATTAACTGTCTCGCATTCCTTTTTGGGACGTTTTTAATTATTTGTCCCTCTTTCTATTTTTGGTAAGTTTTTTCAATAAAAATACCTTTATACCCTCACTTTTATTACCATTACCCCTTCCTCTTTCCTACTTTTTCATTTACCCACAACCCACTACACCTTTTACACTAGCCCTATTATTTTCCTCTTTAAAGCCGTGCCAAAGCCTAAGAGGACTCATATTTAAGAACGGAGGGAGTATTATTTTTCAACATAAACAATGTTATTAACCATTTCTATAAATAACTCACAACATATATTAATATATGCTATTTTTTCCTACACATATAATATATGATGGAGTATCATATTTCATATGTTACACTAGTTTGAAATAATTACGTGACAAATGCACCCGCACTGGTAGCTCAGTTGGTTCAGTGGTGGGAAATTTGGACCAAGTGACCAAGATTCGAAACCCGCAGCGGCCGTGTGAAGGTCACAGAACCTGAAATAAGGCTGGGCCTCTGGTGCGCACGGGAAAAAGGTCTATCATCATTGGGCCGACTGAGTCACCGTGATTAACATCCTCCCAAAAATCCTGTCGGGTCGGGGTATGAGGGGCTCCTGGGGTGGGAGATTCCACCTTTTGGACCAAGTGACAAATGTGTAAAATACGGAGTCTATCTATACTCTACCAGTCTACCGAGTATATTTTATGTGTGTTGGGCTCATTAAAAAAAAGGATGACACCCCATCCCTGAGGGCCCCCCAACCCCGACCGGACGGTACGTTGGGAGGATGTAAGTTGGACTATAATCCCCGGTACTTGCAGAGGTCCTATGCATTTTTTAGCATAGTAACCCCTCATCGCAGTTGCCGGGATTCGAACTCGGGATCTAACTCTTGTGTCACTCCCTTCCTACCAGTTGAGCTACGCCCACTGTGTTGGGCTCATTAAATAATACTCCGGGGTACTTGTAATAATGAATCAATTCAATTACGGAGTACAATGCAACAGGTGGCCGGCCAGCTTCTCACAGACTCCAACCGTATCAATCAATCAGTTAATTAAAATTAATTAGTTGCGAATTTGAGGTTTAGAACACAGCCATGCATCCCATGTCGTAGCTTCTCCATTAAGATTTAAGATGCGGCGGCCCTGCCTGCCTCCCCTTCCAGAATCCAGATCCACAAAAAGAAATTGTCACAATAATAATTTAAGTGGTACCCCATTTTGTGGTTCAAATGGGATAACTCATTTAAGTGGGACATCTCATTTAAATGATGGTCTCATTTGTGTCACGCAATTGGTGGGGTAAAAATGGGGTACCCCATTTTGGGTAGACCAAGAATAACTCTAATCTTCAATCTAGATGTCTTTGAATGTTTTTAATCTCTAGTATAATTTCGGTTTCAAATTATATTTTATCTCTAGTTTAAGTGCGGCCCATTACACTTGTAATCCAAAAGGAAAAATAGTTTACAAAATACACTATTTAAAGCTATTTTTCTTTTAGAAATTGTTCTAAATAAGAAGAAAAGAGTTTGTGTATTTCAAAATGTGATTGTTATATTTTTATTCTCTAATAAGAGTAATTAATGTCATATTTTGATAGTATTAGTTCTAAATAAGAATAACATTATTTTCTAAGCTTGATAGTTATTACTCATATTTAAGGAATAAAAACATAATAGTTATATTTCGAAATTTTAAAATGTTTTTACTTATATTTTGAAAAGTCTACATTATTTTTCTTTTTGTAATCATCTTATCTACTACGTATGTCTTTATTATTATCCTCTGCCGCAATAGAGATGCTAGGGATCCTTTAGGATCTAGGGAATGAATTCTACCAAGTCCTATTTTTTAAATAAAAATGTTTTAATTGAATTCGTGAAAGTCTTTTTTTGAACTAGGCGGCTTAAATGATTTCAAAGCATTCGGCAAGGGAACAAAAAGATAAGAGCATCACTTCCGACCACCGATCCTCGAATCAGACTTAGAGGTAATCACCCAGAAAAAAGCAATATGACTAGTCGATCCTGTAATGGGTCTAACGTGGTTAGAGTAAACCCCTCATCACCCCAACCTAATGCAAGAGTCTGACAAAAGTAAGCGTACATGACAAACTAAACAACATGTAGTTCGAAGTAAAAACACAAACAAAATAAAACAGAAATAGAAATAGTCGTTCATACCCTAGTCGCACAGTTCCTCCATGGCGGCGGTTCGGGAGGGGGACGGATCAACCTCCCATCGTCTTCTTGCACCCGTACACACCTATTTGGAGCCTCGTCCTCACATGCGGCCTCCTCTTCCAGACATAGATCGCCCTCATCATCCCCGAGAGTCAGCTTAGCCATTTGTTGATCGCCTTCTCAATCTCTACCACCGGACAAGGGCTCTCCACCAACGCCTGTACAAACTACTAGGGACAAACCCTAGAGACGGCCGCATCTTACGAGATTATCAAGAGTGTCAGAACTCGATCTCATGCATCCTGCCTAGGTGCGAATGAAGCTATGCGACATCCTTCAATACCCTCACCGTTGCTTCCTCTCGCTCCGATCAACAAAAAATCCTAAGGCGGTGGCGGTAGTTTTAGGGTCTCACGGCGCATATGCGGAAGAGCTAGAGAAAAATTACTCTCTTCATGAAAGTCTAAAATTGAAAAAAGTATTCCTCAGTGGTAAATGAAGAGTTCGTTTGGTGACTATTTTTTTAGGCTTATCAGACTTATTAGCCAAATGTTTAACCAACCACTTAACTTTTGATTTCGCTCGTTGAACTGTCTAATAATAAGAAAAAGTAAAAATTAATGTTACTTTTCTGACTCTATTGGCTGAAGTTACTGTAGACTTCATAAATCAGCTGAATCAGCCAATAAAGACACTTCAGCCAAAACTTCATAAATTTGAGCAGAATCAATCGATTCATTCGATTTCCGTGTTACAAAACGGGCTCGAAATGCATTCTTACCTAAGTCTTCAACATTGAGTATTATTTAAGTTAGATCCTTGATTTTTTTTGAATGGAAATAATCTCTATTAGAATTAATAAATCAAACAACATGACAATAGATTCAAGATCACAACCCCAGGCATAAGTTCAATGATCATATTTTGACTCTGCCACTCACAAACGAGCTGCATAAGTCGTTAACCATGTAATAAACAAACTGAAGCTTAACATCACCATAGAAGTCTTAATGTTTCTGTCGTGATTTAACAAACTTACAACTCTACTGAAATCAAAACCAATAAATAATAATAATAATTCACATTACTGAAATAGGCAAAACTATAAAAAAACCAAATCGCCGTAGGAAAATAATAAAGTAAAGAAAATAAAAAAGTAGATATTTTTAAATGTCAAAATATTTTTTTATTTTTATATATTCAATATTGGTGTCATATGAAAGATTATAGAAAGTTATGAATTTTGATATATTTTTTATAATAATCGGAGTACAAATAAAAAGTTATATCAATTTTAAAAAAACATGATATTTTATTTGGTGGTGGGACCCGTGACTCAATTCTTCTTCCTCCTAGATTATGGCGTGCGTTAGTTTTTTTGTTCATATAAGCCGCCACTTCAAGTGACGGTTCTTTAACTCTGATTATTCCAACAGTATTTTAGGAAATACTTTTAACCTAATATTATTTTTGGAAATATTTATTTATTTGACAGTATTTTGAGAAAAAACTCTTTAACATAGTTACTAGATGTATACATTTGTGCAATCCTGATAGCAAATAGTAACTAATTATACGGATTAATTATTATATTAATGATTTTTTTAAAATGCATGGTAGTCACTAACAAAGTGATTTTTGAGATAGTAACTAAATGATAGTATGGTCTTCCTTGTAAGTCACTGATTTCATTTTCTAGTGACGTCATACCGTTCAGATAGTGACTTTAGAGTTATCGCTCATTCACTAATAATAAAATACACCCGAGTGCAGTGACTTCAGAGATATCGTTTAGTCACTAGTAATAAAATACACCCGCTCCATGAAACCGGAACTGACTCATCCCTGCCCTACACTACTCCTTGCCAGTCCTCTAGAGACTAGATTAATGACTCCATATTAACCCTTATTGATCCTTTAATTTAGAGACCACATTAGTGCCCACTAATTTTAACATAAACAGCCTCTCATTGACTCAAAATACAATTCAGTGACTCCCAAAAAATGCTACCAGTCACTGTAATTCCTATGTGGTTTAGTCACTTAGTGACTTGATCGCCTTATGTGGTTCACTGACTACTCCATCATTCAATGATTTTCGTAACTACTCCGCCATTCAATGATCGTCGCGACACTAACCGTCATGACTCCATCATCCGGCTAGTGACTACCGCCCGGCTAGTCACTACTTCCGCAGTAACTGCCGTGGGAGTGACCTATGGTCAGTGATCAATCACAACCCGAAGGTGGCTGCCACCCTCATCCCCGCCCCATCTGGTGACCGTCGTCCGCCGTAGCTCACCTAACCCCTTTCTCTAGCCCTCAGCGCCCACCCCAGCCTCACAACCCCTTCACTCGCGCTGCATAGCCGCTTCCCCATCCTCTGCACCCTGTCCTCGCACCCCACCCCACCCCACCCACTGAATATAGATATGTCGCACCTCATGAAGACTTTGTCACCCGCAACCATTGCCCACCATCGTTGTATCCATCGCCGCCAAAGCTCGTCGTCTCTATAGCTGTTGGGTTCGTCACTGTCAGTCTCAATCACGCATA